CCGTGCGCCTGCTGCTGCCTGGGGAACTAGCCAAATACGCGGTGTCAGAGGGCACAAAGGCAGTCACCAAGTACACCAGCTCCAAGTAAAACATGATCTAACCAGCAGATGAGCTCCATAAACCAAAGGCTCTTTTAAGAGCCACTGATAAGTTTCTAATAGGGCTGTAGGCTGTTTTATGAGTATACCTCATTGCCAGACTGATAGATTAGGCAACACCGTAATCTTTAATTCTAAACTTAGCATTAACTATCTGCAGCAGTTTTGGTGAAAGCTAGTCTCACAGCTGAAGCAATTCAAAGGGGGCTCCCATAACCCTGGGTTCATGGGGATACTCTTCCTGTAGACACTGCTATGGGGAAATAAGGCCTTTTTGTCTACAACATTTTCTGTTTCAAACCCTGTATGATGACAACAAAAGAGGCCTGGAGCTCCCCACTTAGGAAAGTCTGGCATTGAGCATTAGGCTGTTTGCTTTCTCTTGACTTTGGCCATAATGTGTGCATAACGTCCACCAAGTCCGGGCGGATCTGTTTCAGCACCTTGTAGATGTAAACGGAATAGTTCTCTTTGCAGCATCTCATGCTTTTCAGGCTCCTTCTTTTCTCACATATTCTAAAAAAGTGATCAAGCTAACTGCCCTTGAACTGCCAGGATTTGAGGTCCAAAGCCCAAGGCTTGCATCTCTTGTGAACTCCAGAAAAGTCAACTGTTTATTCAATGTAACAGTTCTTATCTTGCTTAGCCATTTAAGAATTCTCTCCCCAGGGATTTCCAGTCAATCCCAACAGAAATGTTCCTGAACTGTGTTCCATATATCCATGAGTACCACCCTATTCACATGGTTGTCCAAGCCTGAAATGTATTTTTTCGCCGATAGTCTAACCTCCATCCACTTCAATCTCTCAAGATATGGTAATTTTACTTCCTACATGTTTCTGTTGTCTGATTATTCACCGTCTCCACTGCTACCATTTGTGTCTGCATACTCATGATGTCTCACCTGGATTACAGTTTCTAATCAGTATCGCTGCTCTTAATCTTGCCTCCCTAAAATTCACTCTCCACCCAACTATTTTCATTTTTTAAGTTGACAAAAATTATGTACTGTGTACAACATGTTTTGAAATATGTATACATTCTGGAATGGTTAAATCAGTCTAATTAACATATGCATTACCCCACATACTTGTTATGAAAACACTTAAAATCTACTCTTTATAATTTTCAAGGATACAATATATTGTTACCAACTATAATCACCATGTTGCACAATAGAGCTCTTGAACTTACTACCCCTAAGTGAAATTTCATAACCTTTGACCAATATCGTCCCACTACTCCCCAACTGCAGCCCCTGGTAACCACCACTCTGCACTCTAATTCTAAAGAGTTCAACTTTTTAAAATTCCACTTATGAGATCATACAGTATTTGTCTTTCTGTGCCTCACTCATTTCACTTAACCTCCAGGTTCATTCATGTACCTGCAAATGGCAGGATTCTTTTTCTTTTGTAAGACTGAATAGTCTTCTATTATACATATATGCCACATTTTCTTTATCCATTCGTCTGCTGATGGACATTTAGATTCTATATCTTGTCTATTGAGAATAATTCTGCAATGAATATGAGAGTAGATATATCTCTTTGAGAAACTGATTTTATTTTCTTTCAATATATACCTAGTAGGACTGCTGGATTATATGGTAATTCTATTTTTAATTTTTTGAGGAAATTCTGTACTGTTTTCCCTAATGTATGCACTAAAATTTACCGTTTCAGATCTTATTTGAAGTACAAATATTACTATATCACACATTTTAAAAAATATTTTGAAAACTCTTTCAATCTGGTATTTTATTAATAGTACTAAATTTATATTTTATTGAATGCATTTAGAAATTTATATTAATGGGCTGGGCGTGGTGGCTCATGCCTACAATCCAAGCACTTCGGAGGCCAAGGTGGGTGGATCACCTGAGGTCTGGAGTTCAAGACCAGCCTGACCAACATGGTGAGACCCCGTCTTTAAAAAAAAAAAAAAAAAAAAAGAAATTTATATTAACATGTGTATAGGATTAGCTAGACTTGCAAAGAAATCCATAGTGCAGTGAAAGTTTTGAATTTTGGAGCTTTTTGGATTACGGATGCTCAACCTGTATTGCAAATATGTAAAATCCAAGAAAATATACCAGGAAACCAATAGGAAAATAAGTCAATTCAGTGAGGTAGTAGGATATTTTAAAAATAATGCACAGAAAGCAGCCTTACATATATAACAAAAAATATTTTAAAAATGAATAGTTACCACCTCATTTACAGTAACAAAAACAAAATACCCAGAACCATATTTAACTCTTTAAAATGCCAAATATAAAAGTGGGTGATCAGTTCACACCCATCCCGTGGTCTTCTTTAGGTGAATGACTCAGGCAGCACCTGAACTAGGCTCAGTTCTAGAAAATGAACCTGAAAGGAATGTGATCCTCTGGGAAGACCCCCAAGACCCAGTAGAATAGACTGACTTTTCCTGCTTTTACTTTATCCTATGCTGTCTGGGTGAACACTTGGAATTGTTTGACCAGCATGATGTCAAAGTCAGAGTATAGAGAACAGAAGTAAGACTGCAGGGCAGTGGAGCCAAGGCTGTGATCATCCTATTAGTGGAACTTCTCTGCCTTTAAGTGTTCTGTTTGGTGTCATTGCTTATTATCTCAACAAGTCTAGCTAGCGTTTCCTGTTATTTGCAGCCAAAAATACATTTGATATAAAAGCTGCATGAGGTTTGGTTCTGAAAAGAGTTTTTATTTGCTTGTATTCCTACTTATCGATTGCCCAGATAATCCTAAAAGTTCTTGGATAATCAGGGTAACCTATTGACAGTGGTCACAAAGTTGACAAGTTTATTTGACAGCTGTGTGACACCTGCTGTTTTCCAGGGTGCTAGAAAAGCAGGAATCCCCGATTACAGATGATCCCATCGCCAATACAAGGTGGGCAAAGATGCCCCTTCCCCGCCCACTTGTCACCTCCTTGGAAGATTTCCCAGCTAAAGCATGCAGGGGTTGTGTAGGGGCTGTCTTACTGTGCACACAAGTGTGGAAGCACTTGTTTTAATAGGTCTTGCTGTACATTGATATATCCTATTAAACGGTACTGTTTAAAGCATATACGCATCCAATATTTCATTGCAAGATAAAAGTTAAACGAACATGAGTTAAACAAATTGAGAATCCCAGCTAACCACAGGTTTCCAGGTAATATTTGATCCGTTTTCAAGGCAGCTCATATTAGTTTGATGCTTGTCAGCTTACAAATGTAGTCCAAAATCCAGTAACACAATGAAACCATTATAAACTGAAGAAAATTACAGAACATTTTAAGTTCGTTTCAATCCTGCTAACCAGACTGGTGGGTTCGCCAGAGTTCCTCAAATCACTTCCGTATCTTGACTTACCTACGACACAAAAACGAACTCCCTCCCAACTATTCCTTTTGTAGGGTCTTAAAATTTGGAATCACTGTGCAAGTTGTCTGCATCCCTGCGCTTTGCACCTTTACATACGTACTGCTAACCTTAAACTTCCCAGTGTCAAGTTAGCAAGTGGCTTAGACAAAACTACCGGTCTTAACTAGTCGACCTACCCGCCCCACCCACTTTTTGAGACCCACTGTCACTCGGGCTGGAATACAGTAGAGCAATCTTTGCTCACTGTAACCTCTCCCTCCCAGGTTCAAGCAATTCTTTTGCCTCAAACCTCCCGAGTACTGGGATTACAGGCGCTCACCCTGACGCCCAGCTAATTTTTCGTACTTTCAGTAGAGATGGGGTTTTACCATGTCGGCCCAGGCTGGTCTCGAACTCCTTACCTCATGATCCGCCTGCCTGGGATTAGAGGCCTAAGCCACCACGCCTGGACCACCTTTTGAGACGGAGTCTCACTGTCGCACCGGATGGAATAGCAATGTCGATCTCGACTCAACGCCCCCCTCGTACGCTTAAATGATTCTGCCTCAGCCTCCAGAGTAGCGGAGATTATAGGCCCCCGCCCCCACGCCCAGCTAATCAGCCTCAGATCCACCAGCCACACAGCCCTCCCAAAATGAGTGCTGGGATTATAAGCATGAGCCACTGCCCAGCTATGAAGTGCACAGCTCTTTCAGTGTATTTAAGTGGCTCTGAAAAGAGCCTTTGGGTTCCGTTTACTAGGCAGACTTATTTGGAGCTGGTGTACTTAGTGACAGCCTTAGTGCCCTCAGACACGGCATGCTTAGCCAGCTCTCCCGGCAGCAGCAGACGCACTGCTGTCTGAATCTCTCTGGAAGTAATGGTGGAGCGCTTGTTGTAGTGAGCTAAGCGTGATGCCTCGCTCGCTATACGCTCAAATATGTCAGTGACGAAGGAATTCATAATGCTCATGGCTTTGGAAGATATGCCAGTGTCCGGATGGACCTGCTTCAGCACCTTGTAGATGTAAATAGAATAGCTCTCCTTGCGGGTCCTCTTCCGCTTCTTGCCCTCCTTCTTCTGTGTTTTCACAACCGCCTTCTTGAAGCCTTTCTTAGAAATGGTGGCTCCTTTAGAAGACAACTCCGGCATGGCTGACCGCACACTTCTAGAGTGTTAACGGCTCTTCAGTGTTAAGCAGCTCTTTTAGAGAGTGTTACAGCTCTTTTAGGGTGTTACAGCTCTTTCAGAGTGTTAAGCAGCTCTTTTAGAGTGTTACAAGCTCTTTTCTCCTCAGCACCTTAGCTCCGAAGCACGCCCAGTAAACGGATAACTCCAGAGACGCAAAACTGCTGTATTTATAGGCACGGTCCTCAAATGGCCTGTTGGGTATCCAAAATCTGATTGGACAATGGGAAGTGGCGTGAATGCAAATAAGGCGTTTCTAGTAAGACTCTCTGATTGGGTAGAACGATCATCAACCAATCAGAGAGCACATGCCAACCTCAGTTAGACTATAAATAGGCCCCGTAGCGACCCTGAGAGGGTCATTTTTCCGTTGCTGCAATTTTGCTTTGAAGAAATGTCTGGACGCGGGAAGCAGGGAGGAAAAGTGCGGGCCAAGGCTAAGTCCCGCTCTTCTAGGGCGGGCTTACAGTTTCCTGTGGGTCGAATCCACCGCCTGCTTCGCAAAGGCCACTATGCAGAGCGGATAGGGGCGGGCGCGCCAGTATACTTGGCTGCAGTGTTGGAGTATCTAACCGCAGAGATCCTTGAACTGGCTGGCAATGCGTCTCGCGATAATAAAAAAACTCGCATTATTCCCCGACACCTGCAGCTAGCTATCCGCAATGATGAGGAACTCAATAAGCTGTTGGGTGGCGTGACGATTGCACAGGGCGGAGTCCTGCCCAACATTCAAGCTGTATTGCTGCCCAAGAAGACTGAGAGTCACCACCATAAATCTCAAAACAAGTAATTTCTCCGGATTACATCTGTGACCTCAGGGAAAAAAAAGGCTCTTTTCAGAGCCACATACTATCTCAAAAAAGGCTGTGCATTACTAAACGTGTTACTGCTGTCGTTAAGCAGTCATCTTAGCAAGCGCCTGTCAGAAGCAATACCTTCAAAGTGCACTTCCGCATTGTATGAGGGAATTTCCATGGAGCACTGGGTCAACCATTAGTTTGACGTTTTAAAGGTACTTAAGCTTTAGAATTACACAGAACTAGGTGTGGTGACTCACACTTGCCAGAACTTCCACTTGAGATCGAAATGGGAGGGTCGCTTAAATCTAGTTTAACATAGTTGGGACTCTGTCCCCACAGAAATTAGCCGGGCCTGGTGGCGCAGGCCTGTAGTCCCAGCTGCTTGCGCAGTTGCGGTGGGAGAGTTGCTTGATGATGGGGGGCGGCAGTTAATAGTAAGGGAATATCGCGCCACTGCACTCATCTGGGTGATATGAGCGAGGCTGTATTTCAAACTAGTTATGTCAGTTAAGAGTTACGTATGGAAGTGAAGATTGGATTACAAGCAGGAGAGGTGTGTAACCTTCCAGTTTTGAGTTCAGAAAACATCAGCATGGCTGGTTAAAGTGGATCTTAGAAAATTTCAAATAGGCAGTCTCACAAAATACTCATGTGGCATGTAAGTAAAATAAAATTTGGGTAAACATTTGATACCTGTGGCTTCGCGGCATTTTGTTAAAGAATAGGATTCTTAAAACGTAAGAATGTTGAGAAACCTTATACCATATGTGATGGTGAGATAGAGTCAGGCAGGAATGAGACTAAAAGGCCTCACATAATTTGAGGTTTAGAAATTTGGGACAGTAAAAGCTTCAAAAGTTTTGACTACTAAAAAGAGGCACAATTGTGTTAGCTTTTTGTGCACTAAACAAGAGAAACTGAAACGCAAAACCCATTTAGTAACGCTGCCAAATAACTAAAAATTACTGTATGATATTCAACAATTGACGTTACCTCAAAAAAAGTCACTGCTAAACACTTAATATCTACACAGAATAAGGCATATATAGAAGCAGGTATGGAGAAAGTTATAAAGTTCTATAAAATAAAACATGCCGAGTAAGGACAATCAAGTTCAAAGTCAATTGTGAATTAACCTGCATAAAGATTGAATAAGGGATGCAATTTGCAAGGCAAAACCGGAAGATTTTTGAAAACAGAAAGGGCAACTACAGGTTGAATAAAACTGGGTAATATTTAAAACATGGCAAATGTGAAACAAAATCGGGATATATAAGACAAATCTATACAGATGAATTCCAAGTAATTACTGTAGATACTTCATCAAGAAAGTGGCACTTAACTCCCCAGACTTGCCGAAGCACAGAGTAGGGAAAGGCAGAGAAGGAGGGACTTGACTTTACAGGAGAGAACCTGTGTGTTCTCTTATTCCAAATGCAAAATATACTTTCATTTCCAGTTCTAATGCAAGCCTATTAAAATTACATTAAATATTTAGATACAATAAGATGTATGAAAAATTGTAAATACATGTTAAAGGAGACATGTCCCTTGACTTTTCAAAACAATTTACTTATGTAAGTTTCTGATTTTCCTTATAGAATTTTCACACATTTCATAGAGTTTATCTCCAGATCTTCTTTTTTATTACTGTATTTTGGGAAAATATTTAGGTTTCTTTTATTATGTTTTCTTATTGACCATGTTTTACAGACAAAACATTTTTTATTTTTGGACTGATTTGTATTTCCTTATTAAATTCTGTCATTTCTGTTCATCTTTTTTCCTCTCTGATTTTCCAGGTAGGCAGAAAAACTCACAGAATTTTTTCCTGTTGTTTTAAATAGTTGACTTTCTTGTCTAAATGCATTGCCTAATGGTTATGAGTGATAATAAATAAAATGGTGATATTGACCTTTTTTTTTTTTGAGACAGTCTTCCTCTGTCGCCCAGGCTGGAGGACAGTGGCCCCATCTCAGCTCACTGCAACTTTCGCCTCCCGGGTTCAAGTGATTCTCCTACCTCACCCTCCTGAGTAACGGATTACAGTCATGTACCATCACGTCTGGCTAATGTTTGTATTTTTAGTTAGAGACGGGGGTTTCACCATGTTGGCCAGGCTGGTCTCGGACTCCTGACGACACACCTCGGCCTCACCAAAGTCCTGGGATTACTGGGTGGGGGTGAGGGCTACAGGCACCGGCCCAGGGGCAGTTGGCTAGCCCCAGGGCCTCATGGGGAGAAAGCGAGCTGATGGTCTGGGGATGGCTGAAAAGGCAGGGAGGCCCAGAGGCGGCTTGGGAGGGGCCGGGGGCCCAAAGCTCCCAGCAAGGCAGCTCTCCCAGGCCCTCTCTCCCCTCCAGAAGCCGCTCAGACCTGGCCCCTGCCTAGTTCCGGAGTTTCGGGCCCGCTCCATGTGGGGGTGAGTACGTTGGGCGCTGGCCCAGGGGGCCTAGGGCTGCCGGGGCGGGCCAACATGGGGAGGTCGCGCGCCTCTGGAGAAGCGGCAGGCCGGCGGGAGAGAGCAAGCTGACAGGGGATGGCTGGGCGGCAAGGAGGCCCGCAAGAGCCTTGGGAGGGGCTGGGGGCCCAAAGCCCCCAGCAAGCCAGCTCTCCTAGGTTCTCTCTCCTCTCGAGGGCCCGGCCAGACCTGGCCCCTGTCTAGCTCCGGAGCTCCGAGCTCGCTCCGGGTTGGGGGCGAAGGTTTCAGGCGCCGGGCGAGGAAGTTTGGGGCGGCCCCGGGCCCCAGGGGAAGAAGCAGTGAAGCGAGAGAGAGTGAGCTGATAGGGAAGGGCTGGGGCGGTAGGGAGGCCTACAGGCGGCTCTGGTGGGGGTTGGGGACCCAAAGCCCCAAGCAAGTCGGCTCTCCCAGGCCCTTTCTCCCCTCCAGAAGCTGCCAGGGGCGGCCCCTGCCTATCTCTGGAGCTCTGCTCCGGGCCCGCTCCGTATGGGGGTGAGGTTCTTGGGCGCCTGCCCAGGGAGCCTGGGGCTGCCCAGGGCCCGAGGGGAAGTGGCAGGCCGGCAGGAGAGAGGGAGCTGAAAAGGGACGGCTTGGGAGGCAGGGAGGTGCGCGGGGGCCTAACGCTCCCAGCAAGCTGGCTCCCCGGTTTTCTCTCTCAAGGGGCTGGCCAGACTCCGCCCCTGCCTAGCTCCGACGCTCCGGTCCTGCTCCGCGTGGGGGTGAGGGCCCCAGGCACCGGCCGAGGGGGCTGGGGCTTCCGCGCCGACCCTCCACGGGGCGGCCCCGGGTCCCAGGGGAAGCAACAGGCGGGCGGGACAAAGCGAGCTGACAAGCAAGGGCTGGCTGGGGAAACGGAAAGGCCCGCGGGCGGCGTTGGAGGGGCCCCGGGAGAAGCCGGCCAGACCCCGCCGTCGCCCCCGCCCCCTCCGCCTAGGTCCGGAGCTTCGGGCCCACTCCGTGTGGGGGTGAGAACCTTAGGCGCCCGCCCAGGGGCTTGGGGCTGCCCTGACGGGCTTCCACGGACCGGCCCCGGGCCTCCAGGGAAGCGGCAGGCAGGCTGGAGAGAGCGAGTTGACAGTCAGGTGGTGCCCATCATCACAGGCGTTAGCAACCATGCCCGGCCGACTTATTTTTTATTAAAACCAGGCTAATATGACACTTCCTAATGCTTATGCCGGTTTTAATGTAAATTGTGCAATTCCAAGATTGGTAAGAGTTGTTAATTAAAAATAAATGTTGGCTATTAACAATAACAGTTTAGCAACAACTGGGACAAATATATGCTATTTTTTCCTTTTCCTTTTTATTAATAATCAATCACATTGAAGGAATTCAGAACACACCATTCCAAAATATGTCACTCTGACATATTAACTATTTGGAGTTAAAGACACTCGAAAAACAGCAGGTGCACGAACACATATTTCTTTTGTTTCTTAAAAGCACGAAATGAAAGATGTCATCCCTGTACCAGAAGGAAAGTACTATTCTCATCAACGACAGAAAATTAAGGCCAAGTTAAATCTGTACACATAACCTTGTTACACCAACCCTTATCTCTCTAATCACTTCTCCACCTAATTAATTACCCTAACCCAAGCCCCTTGGCTTGTCACATTTTCACAACTTACTGCACTTTGTCGAATTCTTCATATAAGCGTTCCATTCTTTGTCATTGGGTCTTCATTTCCTTATGAAGGCTCCTGTGCCACATAAAACTTGCATTCAATAAATGTATACGCTTTTCTCCTGTTGACCTGTGTTATGTCAGCTTAATTCTCAAGCCCAGCCAAAATATCCTGAGGGTAGAAGTAAAGTTTTGCTTCCCTTCTACAACATTATGGATTTCTCATCAGCAATCATAGAAGTCATAGAACGATAGAATAGTATCTTTGAAGTTCTAAAGCAAAATAGCTCTCAATTTAAAATTCTGTGCTCAGATGAACTTTTTTTGTGTAAAGGTGAAATAATTTTTGAACAAAGACCAGAAAGTTTTGCCACTCACAGATCCATCCTAAAAGAATTAATGCTAAAGAACGTGCTGAAATAAAAAGATTGAACTCAGAAGAAAGATTAAGTCAGGTGTATATTTTGATGTTAAATGTAACCACTAAAATAATATTCAGAAAAGAGGGATAATAAAAAATCAGAGTCCAGTGGAAAGCAGGAAATCATAAAAGGACTGGCATGACAACTTAGAATGCAAAGTAAAATATTAAAAATGAGACCAAATATCAAAATGAAGGTTAATCGATTAAATTTCCCATTTAAAAGACAGTATTTGACTAGGAGTAAAAAAACACAGCTATACCTTGATTATAAAATACCTAAAATTTATTGGCACAGAACATTTAGAAGAAAAAGAATGGAAAAAATACATTCCAGGCAAAACTGTCCCCCCAAAGAAATTGTTTTGCAAAATTAATAGCAGAGATAATATGTAATGAAAAAATAATTTGAAAACTAAAAGCAGAAAAATTATCTAGGCAGATACACTGTTCTTCATTGTGTTAACACCCCAAAAAAAGATTT